CACCTGCCTTGAGATCCAAGCTTCACACAGATGAGCAAACAAGGCACAAGAATCTCCTGCACTGGGCTGGAGTTTCAGGTGCAGGTGCCTGCAGGGTCGCCAAGTGGGCAGTGCATAAAAACTGGGGGGAGGGCAGAAGTCAGGGCCACTCTTAATTAGGCAAGAATACAGAATAAGCCACCAGCCTCTGTCGGGGAGGACTGAATTCCAGCTCTTTGCCTTACTTGCTGTGGGATTTTAAGCAAGTTATTTAACTTCCATATTTAACGTCTTAATTCCTACAACTATAAGGTACTGGGTATATATTAATATCACCGATGACACAGGACTGTTGTGAGGATTAAGTGCTGTGTACATTAATTAGAACAGTGCCCAGCACAGAGTAATATATCTATCTTGAGAGATACATTAATATATAGATATATTAATATAATTATACATAATAACAGCATATGGAGTAATTACATACACATAGTCTGACGAAGCCACTCCCGTGTGCTGACCGCATCTGCAGGCACAGCCTGGCAGGGGCCATGCCCACAAGGGGCTGTCGGGAATCACTCTGACCTCCGTGGTCCACCTGATCAGAGTCGGACCGCACCCCTGCAGGGGAAGATTGCTGGGCTGAGTGTCCAGCCCCAGCCGGGTCATGAACTGGCCGCTGGACCATGTCGGTGAGTTTGTTAGTGCCTCAGAGCCCTCAGGCGGCCTTACCAGCCTCAGAGGCAGTACAAGGGCAGAGCTCAGGGACTGACAGGGCACTATAATGGTGCCAATCATACAGATATCTGCCGATAAATACGAGGTCTGATGACCCATAAGTGCAGCCTTTCTCTTTTGCAGGCTCTTCACCACCAGAGCGTCTGGGAGTGACCAGTCATCATCCCAGGCTCTCTCTCTGCCCAGTAGGACATCACTATTGTTACTGCACTATTATTATTGTACTCTGACGATTCCCTGTGACTCCACTCCCAGGCCCATTACTTTTGATGCTTGATTTAGGCCTTCCCATCATTCTTTAATTTCAGTGCTGTAAGCCGTCAGAAAGCAAGATGAAGCCAGGAAGAACGACCTCGAGGACAGGTAGGCAGGGGCAGCGGTGAAGTCTGCCTGAGGCCCAGGGGTGGCACAGTGTGTGTGGGCGTCTGGGCCCCTTTCTCCCGGGCACCCCCACAGTCCAGCCTGCGCTGGATGCTTCCAAAGCCCAGACTCACCCCATCCTACCAGGAAATCACATATCCTTGATCACAGGCAAGGGTCCTTGGGACCAGACTGTGCCCTCTCCGCCTGTCAGACGTTGTTCCATCCCCTGGGTTTCCGTTTCAGAGCTCGTGGCCATGACTGCACCAACAGCCTACCATTGCAGTGAGGGAAGAAGCACCAGCTCCTCCCAACAGCTGTCTAATGAGGAGCCCTCCCCATTCTCGGTGTCCTGGACACCCTGTATCACTCTTAACCTCCCCATGGTCCATTTTTGCACAGTCCTTTCAAAATCTGACTTGCAGAAGCAAGCCCCATATTCTACAAGGTTATGACTCACACACCTATCTAAGGCCCAGGCACTCAGCTTCTGCTAAAGAAGCCTGGGTTTAGGCGGGTTGGTTCAACAGCCCTCGGGAAAGAGACTGCAGCAAGGTGACACGATACATGGGACGAGTGTCCTTCTGAAATCCAGGTGGCTGACGATCGTCTCCCTTACACTTGTGGATTCCAGCACCAAATAAATAGCAAACAGTTACATTACACAGTGAGACAAATATAAGTGCATACGTCTGAGACTGGCCATGACTTGACACTGGCTCTGAACATCGATCCCAACTCCCAACGTAAATACGACCTAGGGTTTGGCTGGACATGTGAGAGAAGCTGCCCAGTGGGACCCAATCTAGGTGGCAGTCACGTGGGGCTCCAGGGCGCTCGCACTGTTCCCCAGCCCACCTGAAATGCCTGGGCTTCTTGCTGTCGGCATTCACCATTGTCGCAGAGCAGGACGGCCAGGGCATCCTGAGAAGAACTGATGTAAAGCAGGAGGCTGGGCGCCTGGGCTGTCACGAAGCTAACTGCAATGTTTTCCTTGGATAGAGCTGCATCTGCATACATCACTGAGGATGGGAGGCTTGCATTCTTGGTCACCGGGTATGGTTCTTGAAACATGTAAGTAACTGAAGTGCCAGCCTCAAATGCAGCAGAAACCTCTGCAAAACACAAGAGGGGGAAGTGCACCCTGAAACCTTCAGTGGGTCATTCAGGAGAGCTGTAACTGTGTATTGTTGGCGACCCATGGAGCTCTGTATGAGAGTTTGCACCTGAATTATAGGCTTCCCCCACTATGAAACTGCAGGAATCACATGCCTCCCATGATCATTTTGAAGCAGAAGATGTTATTATTTTCAAATGACAAAGCATGGGGCTTGCAGAGGTTAAGTACCTTGCACAGCTGGTAAAAGAGCTCAGATTTGTATCTAGAAGTTCACATCCAGTTTAATATACATTTGCAGAATAACCACCATGGGACAGGCTGATTTCTTGAGATGCAAAGAGAAAATGTCCCTGCCTCCAGGATAGTACAGAGAATTTTACTACAGCCTTTTACTTTCCAAACTGCAGTCCTAACAGCTCTGTGTTTGCCTGGTGCGTTAGAACTGTGAGTGGTCCCTAAACTCCTGAGCACAGGACCCTTGGGGCCAGAAGCACTTCCCTGTGGTGTTAGGCAAAATGTGAGGACTCGTGGAAACAGAAGAGAGAATCTGTGGAAACATTAGGAAACATTTTGGTACTCAAGTTTTTAGAGGTCTAGGAATTGATACTCTTTTCCAAGAAAAAAAAAAAAGCCAAGACGGGCAAATTGGCCTTCCTATGGAGAGTAATAATGCTGTTAGGACAACAACAGATAGGGTTCTGCTGCCCCCAGGAAGACAGGTGGCACCTGCGAGCTGGTGCTGTTCGATCATCAGGAGCATACGCCTCACCCAGCCCACCTGGGTAATGTCTTCACTCCAGCTGTCATCATTTTAATTCCATGCCACTTAATCAGAGGCACTAGCTCGGAAGCCTCACTCGATCTCTCCCTGTCTGTGTGGTCCCAGGCAAGTGACAGGGCCTGTGGGGACCGTTTCCTCATCTGACAGATGGAGAGAAGACACTCGCCTCGGTAGTGCTTCCCTGTGGACAGATGAGAAGATGTGCACGCGGCACTTACGAGGGTTAGTCGCAAGTTTGAAATCACGCACTTTCCAGATTGGAGAATTTGCCCTGAACCCATCCCAATTTTCTTCACAAAATATATCTGTTTAATGATGCACATCTGTCCAAATACTAAGCTGTTCTCTTTCAATCAAGGCTCACTTTCAGCTTTATCTCTGTACAGTGTCAGGGTAGGGGGAAAGCTGCTTCTGTCAGCAACATACTGAGAACCTCTGACATAAAGACCGGGCAGTAATCATGAGGCCGCTCTGCCAGTTCCTCTTTGTCCCGAAGGATATATGGAATGTTCCCAATTCCCTAGGAAATCCTCTATTGAGTTGGTGGCCCCCAGGACATAACCAAATGTGGCTTTAGCTCCCTAATTCCATTGCGAATTGGTTCCACTTTTGTGAAAATTCGGTAACAGCCTGTACCAATGCCAAAAAACTTAACATTGCATATTCATGCATATTGCTCAGCAGTTTGGGAATACCAGCTGCTTTCTACTAACATTTCAGAGAAAGTGTTCTACATTTATCATTCAGGTTCCAACATCAGAGCTCCTGATTACAGAGATATGCAGAGACTCCTGACCGAGGATTCCCGGTGATCGTCAGTTTGATTCAAGCACTTTCTACATGTGAATTTCCTTGCCACCTTCTGGTCCGCATTTTGAGCCACACTATCTCCCAGTTAACAGAATAATGGCTTTTATTTGAGGTTGGTGTGTGTTCAAATGTAACTACAGTTCAGAGCATTCTATTATGAATAGCACATTAGATATGGGCATATATATTATATTTTCTTCTTTATACTTTGGACAGGAAATTAAAATGAAAGGAATTTTTAAACTAGAAATGTCCAACAGAATTCCTGTCTTCCCTCCTCCCTTAGTCCCAGTTCTAATTATTTTTAATGCTTGGATGTTGTAAATTTCAAGAAGCTCAATTCTGCAAAACACCTGCATTCTTTTATTCTCTCAATTTCTTACATTTCATAATTTAAGAGGTTAAGCTCACCGATCATATTTAAGGTCCCTGACTGATTTTTTCAGAACATCCAGAACCACTGGGCTAAGTGGGAGAAAAACCTTAGCATGGAGGTTATCTTGCAGGACCATGAAGCTACCGCAGGGCTGGGACCAGTACCAGCGGCGTCCCCTGAGGGCCTGCCCGGTGGAGGGGCTGGCTGGGTATAGTCTGAGGAGACAGGACACACATTAAAAATAATGCTAACAACCCAGTGGAAGAACCCCAGGGTGTGATGTGTGAGCCACTGGGCAGCCATGTCTCCAGGTGCCCAAGGAGCCAGAGAACACCCGGTGGAGGGCTTGGCCGGGCCTCCCGCCAGCAGGAAGGAGGAGGCGTCGCTAAGAAACATGGTGACATTGCAGGGGTGCATGTCTCAGCCTCCAGCCTCATCGCACGTGCCACCGAGCCACAAGCCATTCCCGGGAAGGCAGAAATGAAGTCGGTCTTGTGGTGGGTAGGAGGACGGGAAGAAGTTACGTTAAATCGTGGGATGTAGGAGGGACGCAGTAAACAAAGCTGGTCTTAATAACAACAGTAGAATTAGATTTAGAATTACAGTAAGGGTTTAGGCAGGTCTGGTTGATGAGGATACTGGCTGCCTAGAATCAGATAGGATGTTATTAATTCAGAAAAACATCCATCAAAACTAAATGGAACAATTGGAAATTTGAATGCTGAGTGGACATTTTATAATAGTTTAAGAATTGTTATTAAATTCTTCTTAGAGTGTTATTCCTGTAGTATGTGTTTTTAGAGACTCTATCTTTTACCAATATATATTGAAATATTTGTAGGTAAAATGTTGTGATATTTCAAATTTACTTCAAAGTAATAAAGGAGAGGAGAGGGTTACTATCAATGTAACATGAGCACCATAAGCTGATAATTTTTGAAGCTAAACAGTAGATCCAGGGGCTTCTGAGGTCCTTCTGTCTCCCACAGCACATGATTGAATTTTCTGTAGTAAAAAGTGAAATACATACATACATGCATATACATATATGTATATAAGTTGGCAGGAAGGAAATATTAAAGAGTTTTTGACAGGATTTGGCAATTGGCAAAGAGTACTTAAATATACAATATATCTTTTTCACAGATATTTCATTGCTAAGGAAATAAACAATGCATGTATCTATCACCACATTACTTGCATGCAAAATTTGGGCCAATCTAAAATTCCAAAGCAATAATTAGAGCAATCATGGTAACGGGCGTATGTCCCTAAACCTTGGCAGACATTCTCCCAAGGTCTTTGTGAAGTGCTCACTGGATGCCCACCATAATCCTTTTGTGAAATACTCCTGAATTCAAGTTTTATAGACAAGAAAATGAAGGAATCATGAGGCTTAGTTACATAATCAGTGTCACATGCTGGAGGCTATGGGTGAGCCAGGATCTGAACTCAGGCCGAGTCCCACCACCCCACCAAGCTTCAGTGTTCTGGGGATAGAATGGGTTAAATGGTAGGCAACTCCACCAGATGGAATATATTGCAATCATTACAACTGGTGAGTTAAATAGGAATGTCTATGCATTGAAATAAAGACAATTCAGGTTATGAGACGTAGCCAACAGAATTACCTCAACTCTACTAAATGGAAAGAAAAGAGGAAGAAGGAAATCAGATTTTCTTTTTAATGCTTGTCATTGAGTAATTGGATCGGTTTTTACTTTTCTAGACTTCCAATTGTATTTCCAAATATAATTCCAAATTTATTATCTAACGTTTAATTAAAAAGTAATTTAAATGCTAACACCATGACAGTCCTACCCAGATTCTTTGTATAATGGTGAAGGTGGAGGTGGGCTAAAGACAAATGGTGTTGGGGTAGTGGATATCTACCTGCACAAGAATGAAGCTGGTCCCCTACCTCATACCATACACAGCAATTACCTCAAAATGGCTTAAAACTAAATGTAAGAGACAAAACTACAAAACTCTTAGAAGAGAACATAGGCAATAAATATTCATGACCTTTGGCTAGGCAAGGATTCCTTAGACATAACACCAAAAGCAGGACAGAAAGGAATCAACAGGAAATTAGACATCACCAAAAGTGAACACTTTAGTGTTTCAAAAGATACTACAAGAAAGTGAAAAGGACAGAAAATATTTACAAAGCATATATCTAATATGGGAATTATATTCAGAATATGCAAAGAATTCCTACAATGGAACAACAAAAAGAAAAAAAATAACTCAACCAAAAAAATGGGCAAATATTGAGATAGGCATTTCACCAAAGAAGGCATATGAACTGCCAACAGGTACATGAAAATACGTGCAAGGCCCTTAGTCATCAGGGAAGTAGAAGCCCAGAGCGCACACCCACGGGAAGATGGGTCGGGCAGGCAGAGAACAAGTGCCGGCGGCCGTGTGGGGGGGCTGGAATCCTCCTGCTATGCTGGCGAGGGTCTAAAATGGAGCAGCCACTTGGAAAGCAATTTGCTAGTTTCCTCCAAAAGTAAACACACAGGTACCGCTCAACCCGGCAGTCCGGCTCCCAGGGGTACACCCAGGGGAACAGAAGACACAGGTCCTCACAAAAACACGCACAAGAGTGTTGGCATTATTCATAAAAACCAGAGGATTGATCCCAGTGTCCATCAACAGATGAATGAACAAACAAAATATATGGCATCCACACAATGGAATAATCTTCAGAAATACAAAGGAATAAATTATGAAAAATGCTACCTTGAAAACTTTATGCAAAGTGAAAGAAACCAGACACAAAAGACCACATAGTATATGACTTGATGCATATGACATGTCCTCAGGGGCAAACCCACAGTGAGAGGAAGTAGATTGGTGGTTTCCAGGGACTGGGGGAGAGGGGCGAATGGGGAGCCGCTGTTGATGGGCATGAGATTTCTTTTGGGTATGAGGAAAATACTCTGAAATTAGTGGTGATGGTTGTGCATCTATATTTATATGCTAAAAACCACTGACCTGTACATTTTAACAGGGTGGATTT